AAAGGCCAGCGTTTTTATGCAATTTAATGGAGAAAAGGAAAGGAAAAACAACAAATTGAACAAGCTGGAGTTGAGAATACTCTTTTATCTATCGGCTTATCATCAGTGAAGAAATTTTGTCAGTATGGCGAACTGTCATCCCTAGACATGACCTTGACAGATACCGAGTTCTTTAAAGAGGAAGTTACGGAGCAACCTGAGTAACTTCACTGGCATTAAATCACCACCAACAAATGGCATTTAGCAGGGGCCTAAAAAAAATAAAGTGTGAAATAACAGAGATGCCAAGGAGAGGATGTAATATACCCTCAATACCAACAACTGTTCATAAAAGATTTAAGAGTGGCAATATAGCATCTGTTTTTTAAAATGGAATTGAGAGGAAACGTAAGGAAGAGAAACTGAGCATTTCAGTCACAATTTCTCACTTTTTTATTCAAATTTACCTTTAATTTGCATTTTTCCTCATTTCTGACTTTCTCAATTAAGCTCTTTCCCGATACGATCTTTTTTTTCTCTTCACCTTTTCAATGACATACTTCCTGACAAAAAAAACTTAGCGTTTGAGTATTCAAGCATATTCTGTTCTGTCATTCTCTTTTCATTTTTCTGTATAACTTCATATTTTTCTTTTTTGACCAGCCATAGTTAGGTATGCTTGAATCTTTCTTGATCTTTTATCATAAATCAAGCGTCTATACCTTATTAATTTTGAAGTTCCTGTTTTCCTTCTCTTTTTTTTGCTAAGTTATTTATTTTCTATGACACGTGATTCTTGAGCATGCCGATGCAATCTTGAGTAGAAAGGCAGCGTTCATTATCCTCATTCCATTCATGAGGCATAGAGAAATGACTTTTTTATTTAATCTTCCAAGGGAAGCTTCTGGCAAATCAGTATTAGAACCAAATTCTTCAGAGTCTGCTCAGAGCCCCGACTAAATAAAATACATCCTTTCCACCCATCATATAGGCAACATCTGTTCATTCATATTCAAATTACCAGCTACATGGGAACGTGTGTGGACACTCACACACAAATGCTATTCGAAGTGCTGAATACTATCAGTAGGTATTACCCAAGCGCATTCTACATTTACCCAAAAGAAGACAGATCTAGGTCATGCGCCCCTCTCTCCGTGCGCAATTGTTTGCCGTTGTGCTCATGACAGTGCTTTGACCAGGAAACCGTGTGACAGAGCGGTCCCTACAAAGGGACACCTTCCACTGGAAACGCCCCCTTGGCGGCAGCAGCAAGAGCCTCTGAACATCTCAGGCCGGTCTTGTTCAATACCTTTATCGATGATCTGGACGAGGGGATCGAGTGCACCCTCAGTCAGTTTGCAGACGACACCAAGTTGGGCGGGAGTGTTGATCTGCTCGAGGGTAGGAAGGCTCTGCAGAGGGACCTGGACAGGCTGGATCGATGGGCCCAGGCCAACTGTATGAGGTTCAACAAGGACAAGTGCCGGGTCCTGCACTTGGGCCACAACAACCCCATGCAGCGCTACAGGCTTGGGGAAGAGTGGCTGGAAAGCTGCCTGTCGGAAA